TAGGAAGAACAACCTTCAGAACACGGCCAAAGAGCCCGAAAAACCCACAACAACCATTAGATCCTGGCCGTGAAAGCCTTCACAAATACAAAGGTCATATTGGTGTTTTGGTTCTTCCATCCTTGACTTGGGGATTCTGATTATATACTTTAAAATAGGCCCATTCAAATCAATGGAATTTAGAAAGGAGTTGTCTCACCAAATGCACATTGATTCAGTGCGCCTACTCTGGTACAATTTACAGGCACCCCTCATTTAACAATATACCTGTTTAACGACCACTTGGATTTACAAACTTTTACAACCCTTGCAAATGTGTACTCGTGTCTTCACCATGCCCCTTCTCAACAGCATGTGATTTATTACTCCATTATATAGTACTATTGCTCCTCGCTTATCAAATAATTCACTTAACGAACTAGTCATAGGAACATTAAGTGAGGAGTGCCTGTATTATATTAAGCAATAGGATTTTGGTCATTTTGTACGTATATATTTGGTCTCAACATGTCAGCAAAGGCCAGAACCACTCAGCTAACAGCTGCTTCCAGGGCTAAAATACTTTTCATTTATCTTTAGTACTGAAGTATTAACCCTTTCACTAAAGCCCTGACACTTTCATTTCCATGGCTGTCTTCAAGGAAAACCGTCTTTTTTTTCCTCTCTGGCCCCAGCAAAAGATTACCTGTATCACAGCAGGCGGGCAAAACAGAGAGAACCCTTCCTGGAATACTGCCAAGAGCCAAATCATTTCCAGGTATGTGAAACAGACTCTTACTTGGTGGGCCATCAGGCTCTTACTTTCTCACCAAGTTCTTGTTCTTCATTCTTTTTGGTGCTTGGGTTTTCTTGTTTGAGATCCCCTATCAGTCAGCTGCCATTTCTAGTGCATGATCTAATGGGTCAGCAAAGGGCCTCATAAGAAGATCTCATGAACGCAGATCTGAATCCTATTTCTCTGCAAGGCTGCTTCTACAATGGAATTTTATAACAACTGCCATGGGCCCATCACAAATGGGCATGCTTGAAAGATGGAATCAAACACTTGATGGTCTAGGCCAGTGGTGTCGAACTGTGGCCTTCCAGATGTTCTTGGCCTTCAACTCCCAGAAATCCTGGCCAGCAGAGGTGGTGGTGAAGGCTTCTGGGAGTTGAAGTTCAAGAACATCTGGAGGGCCACAGTTCGACACCACTGGTCTAGGCAATCTGTGGACTGGGCCAATAAAAGAAAATTGCTGCCTTGTTTGAAAACATGCCAGGCTGTAAATATAACACTCAGTCTTCAACAGAACAGCTTACATTAAGAATGCCTTGTGTGATGATGTCATGTTTTCCTGACTTCCCTGTCAGTTTACAACCAAGGGTTGCCATTCATGACTGCTAATTATCTTCTTCTTTTAGAAGATGCTTCTAAATGTTGCAAGCCGCCCAGAGACCTTTGGGTAGTGTGGGCGGGATATAAACAAACAAACAAACAAACAAACAAACAACAACAATAACACTACTACTACTACTACTACTACTAATAATAATAATAATAATAATAATAATAATAATAATAATAATAATAATAATAATAATAATAATAATAATAATAATAATAATAATAATAATAATAATAATAATAATAATAATAATAATAATAATAATAATAATAATAATAATAATAATAATAATAATAATAATAATAATAATAATAATAATAATAATAATAATAATAATAATAATAATAATAATAATAATAATAATAATAATAATAATAATAATAATAATAATAATAATAATAATAATAATAATAATAATAATAATAATAATAATAATAATAATAATAATAATAATAATAATAATAATAATAATAATAATAATAATAATAATAATAATAATAATAATAATAATAATAATAATAATAATAATAATAATAATAATAATAATAATAATAATAATAATAATAATAATAATAATAATAATAATAATAATAATAATAATAATAATAATAATAATAATAATAATAATAATAATAATAATAATAATAATAATAATAATAATAATAATAATAATAATAATAATAATAATAATAATAATAATAATAATA